ATTTTGTACACCAAGTACTGAATATACTCCATAGTGTATTAATATGATATAGGCTTCAACACTTTGTATTCCAAGTAATGGGGTACTGATGTATTATCAGTGAGTTTTCTACCTCCTTCCACAGGAAGTGAATTTCGGAAAAATCACACACAAAATCAGTATTTTGGGAAAATACAGTGATTTTTGCATTGATGCTTGGAAAAATTATCTTGGAGAAGGGACCTTACAATAAGGCCCAAAGTTACCTTAAACAAGTCACTAGGCAGGGACAATTAGTGTAAACTTTGCATGCAGGATATCAGGCACTTTGTGTATGGAGTACATACATATATATATACTTGGTTGGAACACATTTTATGCTGAGCAGTGACCATAGTATGCAGACTGGGAACCTTGACTACTATTTCATAACACTATTTTATGTAACAAGACTATGTAAAACATCCAGTTTTATTAGAGCCAAACTGTTTCCTGTGCTCAAAATAATTTTGTCAAAGGAACATATTTAAAACATTGTGAACACTTTATTTATATACAAAGCACCATTATTTGTAAATGCTGTTTCTCCTGAAGACCTACATTTAATAATGAAACAAATATGCTTTTAATTTCCTTTTAACAGATATGTACAGCTGCAAATCTGTTGATAAAGAACTTCTATGATAAACCAGGTGCCCTGTTTGACTATCATTTTAAATATTACATGGCATATAGCCTTCTTGACATCTTTGCTAATCTACAAATATTTCCATGGATCCAATTTACAAAACCAATGCTGGATAACCAAATTCTACCTTTAATAAGTTGGCCAAGCATTTTTTAATTCCAGAAAACCAAGTGCAGATTTAATGTTCACAATGTTGAGATATTTGAGCTGAAGCGCATACAAGGCTCTGTAATCCCCGCCTCTACACTCTAAACTCTCTAGGCTATTCTACAGAATAATGGATTGTTGAGATTCACAATACAGGTTCACAACACCCCTCACACATTGAACACCTGCACAAGTTAATTTAAGGCACAAGGCCAACACACTAGAACATGGTGTGCACTTTTAATGCCATGTAAACAAGATACCTATGCCCTGTACCACACTGCATTAACATATTTCACATTGAAGACATTATAGGGATTTCCAACAAAACAGTTAATTACCTACTGGAATGATTACATTCTTAATCACATACACTTTCTGATCTCCAGGCCTCACTTTATCCAACATTTTTAAGTCTTGTGTTTTCCACAACTTTGAAACATATTTTTATGACACTTACTGTGAAAAGAATTATGATTATGACAGTGATATTATTTACCTACACCAAAAGATAACCTGATCTGCAGTATGTGCTATCATCATTTGGAAACTATTTACTTTACTAAACATAATGATATCCTTGACCTTTATCAAGCAAACATGAACTCATTTGCGATACTGACTTTCTTTTTTCTTTCAACCTAAGTGTGAGATTTTGTTAAACTTGTGAAATTTTCAGAACATAAAAGCGAATTGAATATTTGTACATGATCAAAGTAGAACCTACAAAGTTTAGAATAATCTAATAAAAATTATGCTTGTTTTAGAACCCCAAAGAAAAAACTGTCAATATCTTAGTAAAAATTACTGAGATAACCTTCCTGATATACAATATAAACTACACATTATGGTGGTTACAGAAGGAATAACAGGTGTCTCAAAATGTACAGCCAATATACAGGCTACACACTAGACAATACTGCTTGATGTACTAGTAGTTCAAACCGATTGCTTAACATTTTTCATTATTCAGGCACTAACACAACCTTTGGAAACTGATTTCATTGAGGTGGTATTTATGGAAAAATATGTTTTGACTTTTTTTGATACAGGAAAAAAATAACCCGAACTATAGATCTTTCAAAAAGTGAGACATTGCCAAAAATCAGTGGGAATTAATATGTAAGCCTTTGACGTTCAGCCCTCGTATCCTTTAATCTTACAGCAATTCTCAATATCTATGCTGATCCGCTTTGTTTAACAGCTCTGTATTTGATCTAATATTCCCTATGATTACTTTTTCACAAAGTTTTCATTCTTTTCATTTTCTTGAATCCTGGAATTCCTTAACCTTGTTCATATCTACCTGTATAAACTGGACTCACCAAACCATATGAAAATCAACATTAAAATTCCTGTACACCATTCATTTATCATACTGTACGACCTACATTCACTTTTCTGTTTCTATATACTACATTCACTTTTCTGTTTCTATATACTACATTCCCTTTTCTGTTTCTATATACTACATTCACTTTACAGTTTCTATATACTACATTCACTTTTCTGTTTCTATGTACTACATTCACTTTACTGTATCTATATACTACATTCACTTTTCTACTACATTCACTTTTCTGTATCTATATACTACATTCACTTTTCTACTACATTCACTTTTCTGTATCTATATACTACATTCACTTTACTGTATCTATATACTACATTCACTTTTCTACTACATTCACTTTTCTGTATCTATATACTACATTCACTTTTCTACTACATTCACTTTTCTGTTTCTATATACTACACTCACTTTTCTGTTTCTATATACTACATTCACTTTACAGTTTCTATATACTACATTCACTTTTCTGTTTCTATGTACTACATTCACTTTACTGTATCTATATACTACATTCACTTTACTGTATCTATATACTAAATTCACTTTACTGTATCAGTAAACAAAATCAGAGAACAATCAATACACAATTCCAATTTGTGTACACTTTACTGTATCAGTAAACAAAATCAGAGAACAATCAATACACAATTCCCATTTGTGTACACTTTATTCACCAAACAAAAGACAAACTTTCACAAAGTAACTAATTATATGCACAAAATTGTAACTTATTTTCTTTGCTAAACTTCACTGTGACGGGGATGGTAACAAGAGGCCCAATTGGCCTGTATTAATTGCTCACCTGGGATTCAATTCACATCAGTTACCTTCGAAGATGGTCAAGTTCATTCAGATGAAGTTGTTTAAATGTCTTTAACATATCAGAACCCTGTGACCTTAAATACATATGTGAAAGTCGTTAATTCAATGTCATTAATTTGAACAAAGTGGAGAGCCCTTCATCTAAGCATTTTACTGACCAAATATAAATACTCTTAGACCTATTTTCCAGAAGAAGTTGATAAAATTAAGATGTTGCCAGGGCCAGTGGCACATGTATATTTGTCTGTTCATGCCCAGCAATTGCATATATGGCTATTGCCATTGGGGGAAGGGATTTCAACTGCTTCCATTTATGAAATTTCCTGAAGCAACAAATACAAACAACAAACTGTTCAGTGGCTTGAAAAAAACACACAGAAATTCCGGTATGCAAACTGAATTCATTTTTTTGTGCTAAAGGGGAGACAAATCGTATTGTAAGTACAGGTGCTATGAAGTATACTGTCAAGGATTCCTGTTCCACTGCACAGTCGTTTTTTGTATGTACAGTATAACATTCCCCTAACTTCCATTGACTTAGATAGCATAGTCAGTAAGAGCAGTAGTATTACAGCTAGCAGTCTAAAGTCCACAGTTCCAGTTCCGGTCTAGCCCCGTTATATTTTTACATTAAGAACAATATTGTTGGTTATATTTGATTCATCCTCATTATTTTTGCATAAAAGTCCTGCAAGGTATGGTTTTCTTTTCCGAAATATTTTATCAAAGTCATGCTGTGGGACCCTAAATAACTCAATGTTATTAGTGGTTCCAAGGGAATAGAGATATCTCTTAAAGCTAATGGTTTATCCAAACTGTACAGTGCCCTCCTAAATTCACATCTTCTTTTTGTTTTACACCAATCATGGAAGATTCCTACTAATTTGGATGTAATAGTCGTGAAATGTTTTTTACAGACCTCCGAAAGAGATTATTTTACCAAAGTTCCAAATACATGTGTAATAACATTTGGCAGGTACCACACAGGGAAATTCCTAGTAGAGTGGGGGTTGATACAGTTTTCACTTTCACAACATACACATGAGTATTCCTCTGTCAGCGATTTTAACTATAAAATCATGTTCAAACAATTCCTACGTAATAGTCATTTGGATATCAATATATCCTTATCACACCTCTCTCTGCCTCTTGGGGGTGGGGGCAGAAATGTTCAGTCGATTTTAACATATTTCAACTCTATGACCTTGAAGAAAAGTCAAATGCTGTTTATTTGAAAGCCCTCCATTCCAGCTTACTACTAGTCAAATGTCATGACACTTAGCCTTCTGGAACTTTATAAGTCATCTGATGATTTAAATTATTAGACTTGTGACCTTGAATGACATTTGTAAGCTCTCCATGCCAACAACCTACTGATCATGTACTATAACTCTAGGCCTTCTGGAATTTGAGAATGTCATAAATGTTGACTATTTACTGATGGCAAATGACGACAGCCAAAGCCAGATGGCAATTGGTCACTTGAGCCAGCTTTCGGCTCAGGTCATTGTAAAATATTGTCCCACAAGTTATTGTGAATTTCATATTCTGACTCAATATTTCGTAGTTTGATTTACTCTTGTCATTTTTATCATATTTAAAATTCTTAATGTGTTTAGCATTATGTTGCAAGTCAATGTTTCTCAGTAATGAGTGCACTTGTACAATATGTTCTCTTTCTCTTCTGACAAATATCCACCCCTTAGATTTTCCAAAGGCATCCCATTGAAAATCATTTCCCAAATTTGGTTTACATAGGATTAAAATTGATCATTCAGACACCATCTCCTTTGGACACATGGATAGCCAGAGACACACACCGACAGGGTAACAACTATATGCTTCAAGGTTTTTTTCAGAATTATAGAATTATACAGAATGTTAAGGATTTTTTGTATCATGGTGGTACCTTTATCCTTGATCAGATTATAAACAAATTTCATTGGTTCTGCAGGTCTAGGTAATGATAAAGTCAACAAAAGCATTTAATTAATAACTAAGGAGTCCTACCTCTTCTACAAACAGCCACGGATGACAAGTGGTGCCCAGTATGGACGATCTTTTCAGACCATGATCAAATATCGCTTTCAATGCTGGACATAATCTACAACCAAAACAACAAAATTTCAGCAATGGAAAATAAAACCTTTTTATCAGAATAAGACACTGCCACATTTTAAAGATAAGTACCATTATGATGACTTTATACACAAGGTGAAAAATACAATTAATCGATGGATTTATGAAATTGTGTAGACTTCCTCTAATGAGTACTTACGTGCCCCTGACAAGATCTGTGATGTTTTCTGTGACAGTATCATCCCCAGCAGAACAGTAGTGTTTGCTTCTTTCATCCAGCAGCTCCACAAATTTAGCAGGGAACCAGCCCCGGAGTCCATTGAGCTCTCCCACCCAACAGTGCTCATCCTTCTGGGAGATTATCTGTAACACAACAAGGACAAAATTCATTAAAAAATATCCATAATGCAACAATTACATAGGTATTGAAATCAGAACGTTCAGTGATGATAAATTTGTTATATCAGCATATAACATTCACTGACTTGTATGAGTTACAATAACTTTTAAACATATCAAAGTCATTTTTAAATGACAGTCTCTTTGTGATGATCTTTATTTATTCTGACTTTATAGTGCTATCTCACTGACATGAAATATGTCCAAAACAAATTACAACATACTTCTTGCATAACATTATATAGATATTATTAAATTGGCCAGACCCTTATTGAGTAAATCTCAACTTGAGTGAGTTTTCTAAATTGTCTGCCTGCCCTTCAGAAGTATAACTACCCAAGTTAATAACTAAGACCCAGCAAAAACCTGTGCAAAACAAAAACTGAGACAGCTTTACCGAATATATTCAGAGAAAAAGTGTTAGCAGCTGATGATGGTGGGCTAAAATTTGATACACCTTATTTTTCATAACTGATGGATTTTATTAAAAATATATACACTTACTGTTATGACATCATTTTTTCGGAAACCCAGCTCATCATCATCATGTCGTTCAAAGTCAAGTAATGCTTTTGCTCTTCTTCGTTTGTTCCTTGCTACATTAACATAATTTTCCAAATCCCGGGCATGACTGTCCATGGTGTAATCAGCTATCAGATTCTGTATCATACAAGTAAACAACAATTTCACAATGATTATTCAAAACAAATCAACTTTACATCTCAACAGACTTTTGTTTTACTTCTAGACTGACAAGATAAGATCAGTTAACATATTTCAAGAGCAATATTAACAGACCAGGATAATCTTTGCAAGTATGGAAAGTTTAATCTGAAGCCTTATAAAATGAGCACCAGGTTCAATTTTATTTTTAATAACAATTTCTTATATGATTCAAATAAGAAATCCAATGGATTTCTGAAATCAAACTATCATCATAATTTTGGATTTTGTAAACACAACACTATGAAGAAAACCCATGAACAAGATGCACACTAGATGTAAACATGACTTTTGGCTATCAAATAATTCTGCAAAAGTAATCTGACGGCAATTTTTATTCAAATAATAATATTAATGCAAATGTGAAGAAATCATTGGGTGAAATACACAGGTCCAAGAGAGGTAACTCTGGTCAACTCTACTTATCTATTAAAACTTGCATTTTTTTTTGTACATTTTGAGTTTAAGATAATTTACTTACCACTTTGTTATTCTTTGGGTCAAGTGACTGAAAGTGACGTGCTAACTGTAAAATGGCCTCCCTCATATCTACAAGAAGCTCAGTCTGACGAATGTTTTTAGCCTTTCCAAAATCATCATCTTCTTGATCACCCCACAACAGCATTGACACCAGACTTCTCGACCGACGAAGATGGCGTTTATTCAGTTGCTAAAAAAAGAGAGACCAATGACACAAATTGTATCTGACCATCAAAATGATTTTCTGTTAAAATTGCTGTATTAAAAGAAGCTACCAAATCAGCCATCAAAGGGATACCTATCCTTTTGGAACTTTACATTGGAGGTAAATAATTTCTGTCTTAGAAACTGAATATTAAACATCACCCAATGGAGTCGATAAAAAAAACCTTAGCGTTCTTTTCATGTCACCAAGGCCATTCAAAAGATGAAATTGAAAGTTTTATTTTGTTGCCGCAAGGTCATTTCAACATTAAATAGATTACTGAGGACAGATTTTATGTAGATCTCTATGTTGATACTAATGTTACTAAATGTAAGGTCACTTAAGGAGTAGAATTCAGGATTACAAATTCATAATCTGGTGCACTACCAGACGAGCTAAGGAGAATTTCCCCTAGCAGAGACAATAAAAGGAACAAGGCATCACAAGTGATGCTAATCCCCTCGCATGCACACATTGTGACAATCGCATGCACACATTGTGACAATTGCATGCACACATTGTTACAATCGCATGCACAAATTGTGACAATCGCATTCACACATTGTGACAATTGCATGCACACATTGTGACAATCGCATGCACACATTGTGACATATGTAAGAAGAAATGAAGTCGCTAGAGCAATAACAAAGTTTTTTCTAAAAACAGCAGAAGTGACCTTGACCTTTAAGGCAGTAGCCTGAAATGCGAACTTGTTCAAGATATTGCCATACCAAACAATTCTTTCAAGTTTCATGAAATTCTGTTAAGGAATTAAGTCGGTAGAGCGATGACAATGTTTTTCTAAAAATAGTAACAGTGACCTTGACCTTAAACATTGAAAAGGGAAATGGTCCAAGGCATTGCCGCACCTACCACTTGCAGGAAGTTTCATGAAATTCCGTTCAGTAATGAAGTCGCTAGAGTGATAACAAAGTTTTTCTAAAAATAGTAACAGTGACCTTGACCTTAAACGCAGTAACATGAAACGGGAACTTGTTCCAAGATATTGCCATACCAAACACTTGTATGAAGTATTTCAATGAAGAATGAAGTTGCTAGAGTGATGACAAAGAGTGTAACATACATATGTATGGGCAGAATCTTATATCCCCTCGAACTTTCATTGCGAGGGAATATAACGATCAATACCAGAGGGATCTTGGTGCCTATCACTGAAAGATCATTGAACTTTGCTGGTATACAGATTCTTTTCTCTTCATTACTGTGTTCTCCTATTAACAAGCATATGTACAGATAGGTAGGTAAATATTAAGGGATCATGCAAACCAAGTTGCAATATGACCTTTGACAGGCTTATTGTATGCTAGAATATTTTATCCCTTTCAAGTTGGAATATGCACAACAAAAGGCAAAGAGGATCAAACATAACAAATTTCATCATGATCCCTTCAGCACTAATGAAACTTTCACATTTTTGTAATATTGTAGGTGTCCTAAACTGTGGTGCTATTAAAGATGAATACTAGTGTGGTAATGCATTCTTGAAAGTCAAAACTGTAAAAACATCTCCCAGGTCTGCATACTTCAAAGTCAATGTTATTAATCGTGAATTCCTTCAATATTACATCAACTGTATGTTATACCGGATGTTGGTGATAATGTACCTGTTTGGGAAGGTTTTTAGTGGAGTCTGGGTTGACGATGACTCCCTGCTCAGCCATCAGATAGGCCAGGTGTTTCCTCCGATGAGATTCTATCACCATATCACTCAGGGATCCACATGTTCGGAATGATATCTTAAGCACAGAAAACAATAAAATCAAAAATCTTGAAATGACTATTTTCCTTCATAATGCATGTAATGCCAATTCACTCCTTGTTTTGGAATGTATTGAATCTATTTAATGCTGATTTTTTAAATCAAGTTAACCTTATTTTCTGGTCTTTAAGAATTTTGCTTTAAATTTAGGATCTAAAGTTTAATTTATTCAGGGTCATACTCACCTCTATTAAATCATCAACATCTTGTACATCGCCGGGCACATCAGACAGGGCGTTAAAAATCTGAGCTGAATTGTCAAGTGTCTTCAGCTCTTGCTCCTAATCACAAACAATACAAAATGCATTTAACTTTTTTGTAGAGAAGATATTGTCAAAAAGTTTAGCTTTCATTTAATGATAATTGTCTTCATAAATGGAATGTTTTTCAGCTTAAATCGTACTAGCTGCAAAAACCCTGGATCAATATATTTTAAGTATTTTATGTCATCAGTCATAGAGCTATGGTATCCAGGCTATTTAAAACATGCAAATGCTTGACCTGGGCTGAGGTCACTAAACTAAACCCTACATCTTCACTTTTCCACCACCTATATTGATGTATGATACACCATTATATTTGGTGTAGGGCATTTATTTACATGTCAGCATAGGTGCAGCAGGGTTTCCTGTTTTTTGTTTAAGGGAGTCGACACTCTTCAATTTTAAATAATACACTAAATCTCTTGAGAAATACTTTTTTTAATAATTTTAATTTCTCTGCTAACTTTGTTTACTCAAATCACCTAAATCTGGAGATTTCTCGCGTTACTGATACACCCAATGTAGCTAAAAACATAACATATTTCAAAACACTCAAATTATAGTGTATTATCAAATTTTAACAGATAGTAGATTGATCAAACAAGCAGTAGAAAAACTTAAATTAGCACAGTCACACTTTAGTATATTTTAAGTGCAAGATGTGCTAAAATTTGTTTATCGACATCATCCCTGCTTGCTGAATTATAAGGTTTTTTTGCAGACTAGATACTGTAGCCCGATGACATCAAATGTTGACGATACAAATTGATTGGACAATGTGCTACAGTTCCCGCTGCTGATATCATATGACATGGTTGGAAATTTAACTTGAGACTTTTACATTATCGAATAATTTGGGAACAGTTTTATATTTATCCTTTTTCCTTTCCAATATGTTACGAAAATCAAAACAGATGCCTACTGTACAGTGTACATAGTCAAGGGTTATGTATAACTGTAGGTGGTGTTATTACATCACCACTTTAGCTGTTTTCTTGACAGTTATTTACATTTGTATAGGTATTCACATTGATGTAAAATGTGTGTATAGACATTAAATATATTATGCAGCCCAATACTGAATTCATTCATTTATTCATAAATGAATATTAAATACTCTATTTGTTATTGATAATTGTTATTACCTCATGACATCAGTTTATAGAAATTAAAACATTGTGAGGTCAAATGGCATGAATTTGCAGGGATTAATATCAGGTATTGTTTAAGGTGTGGACATACAGTACATGTTATACCAGGGTATCACATTTAACTAGGTTCTAATGATGTGGCCATGCAGAGTAAAACATATCTTACCAATATCTACAGTACTGTGTTGTACTGTGTTGTGCTTTGTTGTGCTGTGTTGTACTGTGTTGTGCTGTGTTGTACTGTGTTGTGCTGTGTTGTGCTGTTTGCTGTGCTGCGTGTACATGTTGTGCTGTGTTGTGCTGTGTTGTACTGTTTGCTGCGCTGTGTGTACATGTTGTGCTGTGTTGTGCTGTGTTGTGCTGTGTTGTACTGTGTTCTGCTGTTTGCTGCGCTGTGTGTACATGTTGTGCGTATTGCTGGACAATGGTACGTACTTGGTGAGACTTCTCTATTTTACTCTTTGGAATATATATGCATTCTTTGTTCTGTGAGATATTATTATTATAGTACAGTGCTTATGTGTGGTGTGAATGTTGTATTTTTGGAATTAATATAATGTTTTAATGGTAATGTTAATTGATGTAATGGGATTCTTTACTTAATACATGTTCTAATTTAACTAAAGGTTTATCGTTTTTGTCTAAATCTGAAAGAAATGTTACAGTTTGATCAACATAGGCAAGTCTGATGATTCTAGTTTTGTTGCTGTATGTCACAAATGGACCATGCACATCTAGGGAGAAAGGGGATACATATGTACCAAGTCTTATCATGATCCCTTTAGTATTTTCGGAGGAGGTTTTTTTATTTGTTTTTCTGATTCATGCAAATTTGAAGCAAGAACAACTAGCAACTAAGTAGATCCTGTATACAAATTTCAATTATGATCTGTTTAGTGCTTTCCACAAAAAAAGGCAGAAACAAACTTTACATGCAATATCCAAGATGGCAAGGTGACCCTTTTGTTTTTCAGATTTATCAGAATTTAAGACATGTATACAATGTACCATGTTTTGTCATTATCCATTCTGTAGTTCTGTATAAATAGTGGTAACAAACTTGACATGCAAAAATGCAAGACCGCTACTTGGAGGCTGTGTTTTCTGATCGATTTCAAATTAAAGCAAGCACAAGTAGGGAGAAAGGGACATACAGCAACAAAAATAATCTGACTTGAGTATAATGCAAAAAACAATTCACTCAAAAACATGGAAAAGTTTAGATAAGTTTTAAATAATTTAAAACTTTTGAATGTCATTTTATTCCACCTAGTCCCCTTATGTATGCATGTGTTAAACAGAAGTGTGTTGGATGCAACCTTATGGAACATGGGACACCGACACCAGTGTTACAGCATTAGCTACATATACTAGTTACTTGTGGACCAAAGGAAAAAAACTAGGCAAAATTATCTAAATGTAGTTTGCATTTGCATTTCAGGACACAAACAAATATTAGTTAAGTTCTCATGATGCATCAACCTCATGTAGATACGGACCTTCATTTTGAGCATGCCCATGGTCATCTGGAATAAGATAGTGGAACCTTCATAGAAGAAGAGGTCCCACACTCTCAGCAGGACCTTCATGTGTACCACACTCGCAAACAGGGTGAGGAACCAGTGTAGGCTGATTAGGGACAGCTCTGTAATGCAGCAGGCCAATCAACACATTTGTTAGTATTCACCAAAATGCAATTCAGCCATTAAACATGCACGTTAGTTGATAAAACACATTTTAGCACCTAAACAGAAGTTTTAACAACTTATAAAGCTATACTAATGAATTGAAGCACTCTTTGAAGAATTCTGAAGTTATTTTCAACAAAAGAAGTTTGGATGCTGTCAAATAAATTAGAATGAATTATTCATTGAATTAACCTTAATAGATTGAAAATTTCAACATTAACCTCTGTACATGTTTTCAGTGGATCATTTTTCTGTTTAAACAAATTCAAACTTTTATCTTCATGAAAATGCTGATAATTTATTTTTATACAAATGTTAGAAATAAAACAACACTATTGTATAAAACATAATACAAATGTACCATAAAACAAACCAACTCGGGCATAAAACACTATGTACATATTGACTTGAACAAGTTGACCAAGCTTGATCACTTTAATGCGTGCAGCATGTAACATCTGTACCTATGTCATGTTCTTTCATCACTAGATCTGTATCAGGGAGATAACTGATGATCAACTGTCGCATCACTCTCTGGTCTGCCTGTAATATGTGAACAAATCCATTGTAAATTCCACACAATCAGCATGATATTCTGAACAAGATATAATCAGGACAGTGGTATGTAATTATTTACCATCACAAATACAGTTATCATGTCTGTTACTTGACAAATATCAGCAGTACATAGTACCACCACCTTCCATCCAAGGAGATGATGGCAGTTAATAGTGATTGTCTTTAGGATATTTCGGTATGAAGTTTAGAAACAATATTTATTAACAAGAGAACTGAAATGGCACAAAATTTTAGAATCCTACTGATGCATTTTTGTATTTAAGTGTATGAGACTATTGAAGTGTAATAAGAAGGAAGTACATTTGTACATTATTACTTGGTAAAGTTAATATCTGGGATGTGGTGAAAGGAAAAAACATCCTGCACTTACTTCACTAGTTGAAAATATATACATTTATCATATCTTTATCCTTTGATGTCTTTAAAAAATCTGATAATACAGAAATGGCCTCCCTTTTGTGACATAAAAAAATATTTTTTATAGGTCGTGCCTCTCTTTAGTGATAATCAATTCATCTCACAGCATTTAAAGACATTCCCCGAGTGCTTCTTAATATCAAGCAGATTTTACTCAAATCTGAACTTAGCCTTTGTCTTTCTAAAATAGAAATATTGACCAAGTGTCATCAGAATCTTGTCATATTTAATTTGCTGTTGTGTGTAAATCATCGTCCAACAAGATGGCAGTGTGCTAATTAATGATGTGCATATGTTGCTGGACTTGGAACATAGCATTAGCCATGGTATATTGTGCATTCTTATTAAGTTAATCAAAATCAAATTCTATTTCAACAAGCTATCTTGCAGAAACCAAATGATGGATGGATGCACAATCCCTATCCCATAATATATCACGTTTAAATTTTGAAGAGTATTTAAATTTAAAAAGATTTCATATTGATCAGGATGAGAAAATTTTGCATGCTAAAATAAACCAGTGAAGTGCTTATTTGTATAGATTATCATTATTAATCTGTGAGGGAGTGTTGTCATGGACATTTAAAAACAACCCCAATTTAAGAATGATCAAAAGAAGGAGAACATGTGTATGGGGTAAAGTAGTGGTTATGCTGGTTGCAAAATTTGTAGGAATGTACTGTACCTAACTAAATGTTTGGGGCCAGAAAAGGGGTGTTCACTGATCACGCTAGACAGGTGGTTGCTTATTAGTTAATGCATTTAACTCATTCACCCCTGAAGTTTCATAATAATCTATTCCAACCTTTGAATTGGAAGGGTTCAAATGTGTCTTCAGGGGTGAATAAGTTCATTTACAAATGGTCAAGAAAAATTAAAAAAGGTTGCATAAGACAGGTGGTCACATGAGCAGGTTTGACTGTGTATCATTAACTAATTACCCAATTTCAAAAAACTATTTCTTAAAATATCTAGGAATTGAAGTATAGAACTCATTTGGAAAAGGAAATGCATGGACAGGAAGGTAGCTTGAATGTATGTCCTATGGTTAAAATCTGATGATAAACCAATGTAAGTATTTCACACACCTGTATCCCGATGAGGGTACTACTGTAATAGGAGGCTGGTAACAAATCCTCTATTATAGCACACATCATCCAGAAGGCATCCTCTTCCTCCATAAACAACAGCAGAGACGAGGCAATCTGTAACACAGACATCACAATATAATATTGAATCGTACCTCAATACGAAACTAAAATACTGCTGTATTGCAATATTTTTCAAAAGCTTATTTTTATGTGTCTGTAGGTTACTTTCACTAAGCTACTCAAATGCTTGTCATCTTAAATATGAAATTTGAACCCAAAAGTTCGGTCAATAAGATAACAAACGTTTATAAACAGATATTTGAAGCGGTTTTTGACAATAGATTTCGTGTTTGTACAGCTTATTATCAATATTTAAGAAACTTTTCAAATGCTTAACAAGCATTTCAACTGATGAATGCTTGCAGAAAAAAATCTTGCTAAATTTTCATGAAGCAGCTGGTAGCCAAGAAAGAGAAGGGTACATGTTAAAAGAAGCTAGCTGATACCAAACAACATAACAAAGCTTGTATTAGGCCTTTATACTTACCACACCAGTTCCCTGACAGTATCCTATGTCAGGGTAGAGCCAGGCTAGACCCCGGAGAACTCGACGTAAACGGGGTATCCCTGTACTGTGTACATTACAGAAGCAGGCATTGCTTGGCATGGTCCGTAGTAGATCCTGGAACAATCACACAGCATCAATAGTAAATGCTGCCTATAAATCTTAGGCTACGTATATACATGCTACCTTACACTTACCTTTCATTTCTAAGACTTAGAATAGTCGATCATTGTATGTTATCTTGTGTACCTTTGAAATGTGACGTCAATAACTTACCAGTAATTACCTTTGAAATGTGAACGAGCTACGGTAATGTACATTTCAAGTGCAATATCAATGAATTAATGATAATGTATCTTTTCCCAATATGATGATTTATTCCAGTAATGAACTTTTCAAATGTGACATTCATTAAATACCAGTAATCTACCTTATAAGTGTGACATCAATTGATTACTGGTAATACATCTTTCTAATGTGAAATCAAGTCCATATTATTATATAATAAAGATATTTTACATGTTTCTCCATCTGAAAACCTTTTGGAAAATGAGAAATATGTCATAGAATCTATGTGAACAGATAGTATACCATTAATTAGAACCATTGATGTTAATAGATTCCTTTAATTACACTTTTCACTGCAGTTATGTACAATGTATTTAACCAATTATATTTTATACCATTTTGAAAACTGAAGTATTGCTTTTTAAATACAACAGAATCTTGTTATACCAGACCCTTTTTCAAGCAATAATAGAACATTGCTAAAATTAACTGAAACTTTCATTACTTAAAATCTGATTCAGGTCAAATACCAATTTAGGTGAATTTGAGTTTACAGTTTTAATATTCAATACCTTTTCAATCTGTTTTGATGTCATAAGGTGATCATTGGAACTGGCCTTGACAATGTCCTTGTATGTAAGATCTGATTTTCTTTTTTTCTCCAAAGCCCCCGAAAGCCTCATCCAGATTTGATTCCTCAGAGAATGGGGGATTCCCTGTCGTACCATAAGTCTCAGCTTTTCAGAGCGAGGCAGGCGAGGCTCAACCTAGAATAGCAACTTGACAACTTGAAAATACATATTTAACATTATTTCAACTAGGCTTTGGCAACTTTTCTTAATATTTGCATTACATTTAATCAGAAATTGAATAAATACAGATTAATTAATGTCAGTTTTAATTTCAACATTTAGGGATTTCTTCTTTCATCATCTGTTTAATTATTTTGTTATAGCCACAGAGAACAGGTCACAGCAGACAACCTTTAATTACCTATACTGCATTGTTTAAACTTTCAGACATCAAATTTCAATACCTCAAATATGTGGGCTATTTGAGAAGCTTAAAAATATACCAACAAATGAATGTTACCACAACTTTGTGATCAATTGCAATAAAGTCTCTCCCCCAAAAATAGATTGTAAGTTAGTCTACCAGTGTTCCAGATAGCTTGCGTGAATGCGTTTTCTTGCACAATAATTCACAAATTACGCAAAAGAAAAAAATGAACTTGCTTAATTCACGCAAGAAAAATTTGGAACATTGCGTCAGTCTATGTGTCCAACTGAGCAGATTATAATACGCTTACAGTGAGTCACTGAGACACTTGCATAGTACGCAATGCCTCCTGTTATAAACGTTTATATGAGCGAGAATTGAATCATGGCGCTTTTAAAACAACAATCGCTATTTGTCACTTGGTCTCATCTCTTTCGCTGCGTAGTAAATTGTCCTAAATACAGAATTGGCACAGTCATCTGTTTTACTCTCAGTAACTTCATCATCGTCGATGTCTTCCATTAATGTTGTGACCGTTTCACAAAGCGTTTTTCTTTTTTTAATTGAAGTTTCTTTTGTGATACTTTCAATAGCGGACTAGTGATCCTCTAGCTGATTGTTTGTGTCGGGTAAGGGCACTTTTTTTAATATTAGAGCAGCCCTTTGTGAAAACATTGTCCTTCTTGTGTTTGGAGCACGACGAACATTCCAAGTTCAACAAGTTTTGGCCATCAGTTTGACCAACAATCTAGGCTGTAACATCTGCCACGGGAAATGTTTTTTCCATCCATCAACGGTCGCACGCTTCGATAACGATTTGCGATGTTCTTGCCACACCTTTTTATGATGTTTCCCTTTTTTAATAGATGTGTGGTATTTTATTTCCATTTCACTGTGCACATGACTGTGATTGTGTTCACAGTGAAATGGAAATAAAATACCACATGTCTAGACAACACAAAAATATGAATTTGAGTCATTCTTAACCGTATACTTAAAGTATAACACATACAAATTATTCAACCTCTTTCAACATTTTGGGGTAACATTGCTTTTACAGCACTACATGGTTCAAAATTTAAGTTTTGACCCGTCCAATTTGGAGAGGTAGGGTAAAAAAACTCCACATGTTCAAAAGTTATCTGGAGCACTGGTCTACTGCTGCATGCATATGAAAAACATGTTGTTATGATAACGTACACGTAACCTGCATAATGAAAGTAACAGCGTTTGATATAAGGATGAGGGATATTTATCATTTACATTATATTGGTGCCAAAATATTAAAAATAGTTAATGGTTTTCTGCATACAAAACCTGATCCACTAATTGTCAGAATGATAGTGTTTACCTTAAACATTGAAAATTTAAACCTTATTATAAACTATCACCATAAAATTGAAAAGTTTTATTACCTTGTCCCAAGTCAGGTCACCGACTTCATTGTTGTGTGTAAACTCCAAATAAGCAGTCCATTTTAATCGATGTTGGGCATCCTCAATGAATGGTGTACTCAACAACTTACTGGAGTTCTCTTCAGGGCCATCTACAGTCAATTTATCATACATATATTTTTAAAATTATTTTTCTTACAAGTATGTCATGATAACTATACTGTATACTGTCCAGTACATAAAATACAGGTATATACAAGTTATAGAAATTGTGATAACCTGCCTTAAAATGAAGATGATTTTTTTTTAAACTTCTAGCAAAAACCTGCAGGTGTCTTTCCAATTTATAAAGGCAATATAATCATTTTTGTTATTAAAGTTGTCTCCCTTCAAAGTCATATTGCGAAAACAAACTTTATCAATCAACTATTTATAAATATAAGTTGCATCAGTAATCACTTCCATAAAGTAAATGAGTTCTTACCTTCTTCTTCTACTTTGAAGCCAAATTCATCATATCTGTAGTCTAGTTGTCCATTAGGATCTTCAGGCTTTGAAAGGAAACAGTTATAGCCATTTTATACACATGCTTTCAGTAATACTAATGTTGATTTAATTTGATAATGTCTGTATATATTTCTAGGATTGTCATTATAACATGTTCTCAAACAATTTCACAAAGTTATGTAGGCAACTACAGTTAAATGATAGACAAAACTTCATAAATATTAAAGATATGAATCCAGGCCTAAAAGCTAGTTCAAACAATTCAAAATGCGACCAATCCATTAATAAATCAGAATTAAGAGAGAGAAAAACAAGAGTACCATGAACAGTACACATCATTTTTGGGAGTAAGATTGATTCTAAAGCTGTGTTTGTTATCAATCAATTTTCATCGGACACAGTCATAACCCACAAGAAATGGTTTGATTTGTTAACATAAAACTTGATCATACTTGATTATTATGCTGAATTTAAAAAAATCTAACAGGTATTTATTATTGTAATTATATTTTTTCTCGAAACTGAGACAGAAATTTCTTATAAATGATATCAGAAATGTTGTTTTTAATTAATAGTCATCATATGCATAGAACTTATATCTTTCATGGTATACATTTCCAAAACTTTAAAGGCAATGCTAATAGTTTTAATACAGATAGCTGGCTATTGAAATCAAAGTAAAATTCCAAAGCCACCACTTTCAATCACCTGATTCCTTAGTTTGGAAAGGATGTCTTCAGGCCACATGGAGGGTGTGAGGGCTGAGAAGGGACCCCCTGGGGTGGGGGTGAAATCCAGACTGCTATTGGACATGTAGTTTGTGGATGATACACTGACTCCCTCACCACTGGCACCAACTATATCATCTTCATCCTCAGACAGGGTGTCCACTGGTGGTGCCATACAAATAATCATAGAATTAGTATACTGATCATCAAACTTAACATTATATATTAGATAACAATACAGAATATCTACACTTACAAACAATGCCTCTCATGTAGATGTTAGTAATCTAGATATACTTGTGTTGCATGTTCACTGTATGACCCAATATGCAACCACAGAATTATATTAGATCCAAGTCTGTGACCCAACTGAATTAAGGTTTTGTTCATAGTATTACCTATGAATGCAAGAAATGGAATTTGACTTGACTATATAATCAGTTTTATATGTGTTAATGTGATGCTTGACATTCCATTCAAATAACAATAATGGCTTTTTGAATCAACCACGTTTTTTTGAAAGGTGAGGGAAAATAGATTTTGTGTCTTTTTCCAAGTGGTAAACATGTTATTACAGTCTTTCTTGATTTATTTTTACGAAAGCAATGGAACGCTACCATATTTTGAGGAATATTTGTAGGAGAATTAACATATAATCAGTCATAAAATCTGTTTGTATAACAGCCTGACAATGTAAATAATTTTGAATCAATAGCTCAAGTGACAAACATCTTTTTAGTGCTGTGCATGTTCCATCAATACGGTTTCCTTTACGATTGTTGACACACACAAAAAGATATCTCTCCAGGGCATGGCTGGAATGAAATTTTTGTGCTCTATTTGATGCAATGAGTAGGCCTAAGATCAAAGAAGTACGTACACTTCCTAGATTGTGATTGTGTTATGTAACCATTACTTACATGAGATGCATCAGTACACTGGTGATGTGGTAAAATTGTGAAATAATCAGCTATTAAATCTCCCCCAGACTGATACTTTGATGATATTTGTTGATGAACAGTTACGGAAACAAATACAAGTTCTGGTTTATCCTCAATCAGTATTCAACATGTATAATTGAAACAAGATTTGGTCATTGCACTACTGTAACAAGAGATAAAAATTTGCACAGCCAAACAAAAATATTTGGTTTAGGTAAAAACGTCACAAAAGCAGAAAAAAATATAAGTTTGAAATATGTATGCACAGGTTTTCATAATCACTATTTTGACAAAACCAATTGTGGCAAAACATAAACATTTACTAGAATATGTCAAACATTATTGGTGCAAGTTTTAACGACAACATATAGCCCTATACATGTACTGAATTGATATGTTACTATAGTGATACACATGTAACCCAGGAAAATATTGTAATTATACGTGTATATATAGGTAGTCATATTGTGGTGTAAACTTTGACTTCGGACATTCACGCTTCATCTGACAGATGAAGTGCTGACAAGTGATATTCGACGAGCAGCACGCATTTCTCCCCTACTTTCCCTATGCCTGCATGCACACTAATTATAAGCTTTCTGGTAAACCTCTCTTCCTCTAGATTTACTGATCATTCAACAACTGTGACTCGTGAGGGTCAATTGTCCACTCTAGCATACTATGTAGTTATTAAACATACTATCACATGCTATAGACATAGAAGAACTGGGGAGCCTGGTAAGCATATAATGTCGGTGTGAATGGAAGTGTCTGTGTGACTGAGGGTGCGTTCGTAGATTTGGTTCCTGTGTGTGTCTAATGCATGTTTTATATGCCATTCCAAATAAAATACATAATATTTGAGACTATAGTATGAGTATTGATTGGTCAACCCCTATGTTTGTAACATCGATGAAAGGGTGGCATGTCGGTCCAATTAACGCAATGGCTCGACTTGTCAATGTGGCATACGCCATGCTCGGCAGAATTTTAACATTATGTAATACAGATACGCAACTGTGTTTACCTGTCATTGCTTTACTACTATATCCTTCGGCATTCCTGCCTCCAAAAACAGATTTAGCTATGTCCATTTTTCTTTTAAGCTATTCAAATGGGTTAAATAAATATCTCCGTCTGCTATTTTCTTCTATCCATTTTCTAATGAATATGTAAATTATGTTTTTGTGGCGCAGTGATATTGTTTGCAGGGTAAATATGATGTATTTATACAAGCATTAGCGACTTCCCAAAACAAAATGTAAAAACTACTTATATGTTATAGTTTTAACCTGTTATTTCTTCAAATAAAGAGTTAAATGATCTAATCACAAGCGATATAAAGAAACATCTTTCGGCTTCTTTGCACAGCGTATACTTATTGTAAGGAAGTTGTAATAAGGCTAATATCCGTTAACGTCACGAGGGAGCATTTATTGATTTTCATGGGAGCAGTAATTTTCTTTCTGAGAAATGGTAATGTGTAATACCTTCCTATTGCATTATTTTAGGAATTTTCCACAAATTATGAATACAAGTAAATAACATACAATTTTTTTTAATGAAATCACAGACGTAAAATTCTGGGTTAATAAAAATACTTTCTTTTTTACATAAGTATTTTATCGCCTGGAATAAAAAAAAAACATGTATATATCGTAATGGCGATGTCCACTCTCCCAAAAATACATATTGATAGCATAGGAAGTATCTTAAAACCCCTTTTTAAATGTTATAGAAATTAGGAGAAAAGGTACGTTAGTTTTACAGTCTCTATCATCTTTAAAAAATACAGGCAATGTGCAACATATATATACTGTACATCATAGATGAATACATAGAACTACAGGCTTTATACGTCTCTGTGTACATGTACACATTTCTATCAGATGACTTAACACATTTCATGATTTAAATTAATACATGTATATAACTTAGCGGACTTGTATATATTTTAATACAAAAATAAGCTAAAATATATACAATTTTTATCTCTAAACATTTTCCTCAGGTTGGTAAGTATGGATTATGAGAAGTTCTTTTTACACAACCAATAACATTTTCTATGAATGACCAATGAAGCGTATGCACACAAAGGTATAAAATGTGTACGAGTTGTCCATAAAATCGATGTCGATTTCGGCTAAGCTGGAAACATATATGTACAATAGTTGTTATATATGTACCGAAATGACTCAATTCAGCTACGCTTTGTCAACNTTACACAACCAATAACATTTTCTATGAATGACCAATGAAGCGTATGCACACAAAGGTTTTAAAATGTGTACGAGTTGTCCATAAAATCGATGTCGATTTCGGCTAAGCTGGAAACATATGTACAATAGTTGTTATATACTTGGTCATCGATGTGCGAGAGCAGAATCACATCGCTAGGGCAATCAGAACATGTACATATCCGGAATGGGCCCTAAGACGGGTAAAAGCAAAGTGTCAAAGTAAGGAAAAGAACAAGAAAAGGCCAATCAAGGATAAGAACAAAACCAAAGGTCAAGTGGTTATCCCGTATTTAAAGGGTATATCCGAAACCATGCATCCAGAGCATATATCGCGGTCATGGCATAGCAACAGCCATGAAGCCCCACAAGACGCTTCGCAATATCCTAGTACACCCTAATAAAACACCTAAAGAAAACGTCGCAGAATGCGTATACAAAAACTGCGACGCGTCGTATATTGGAGCGACTGGAAGGTGATTTGGGGTCCTCCTTGGTAAACACCGGAAAGATACAAAAACCCAAGAAGGTAGGAAATTCACCAGATCTGAAAGAAAACAGTCGGAGTCCCAGATAAATAAATCGGCAATCACAGACCATGCTACACAGAAAAACCATGTGATTGACTGGAATAACTCCAAAGTTTTGGACAGAGAGAGCAATCTGTTCAAGCGGCAGATAAAGGAAGCCATCTGGATACACGGCAGTGGGCCAGTTCTAAATCGAGACGAGGGTCTCAAAGACTCTCGCACATCGATGACCAAGTGTTGACAAAGCGTAGCTGAATTGAGTCATTTCGGTTCATATATAACAACTATTGTACATACGTTTCCAGCTTAGCCGAAATCGACATCGATTTTATGGACAACTCGTACACATTTTACACCTTTGTGTGCATACGCTTCATTGGTCATTTATCGTACTTGTCATCGAAACGTCACACAGAAAATTTTATTGGTTGTGTAAAAAGAACTTCTCATAATCTAGCATTTTTATAAACATGTATTCAAAATACTTATCTGTCTATCCTGATGATGTGAGAAATAAGCTAGCGGTAGGCGATTGGGTCAGAATACTACAGTTGACATGGTAATTTTTATAGTAACAATATATGTTTCAGTCATCGAGACCCTATATAGCTGGGAAAATACATGCTTGGTATTTTCCTAAGAAAAAGAAAAAAAACGATCGGATGTCAGGGTTCAGGAATCCTGGTCTGACCTTCGTTGCATTTTTTTACTCAGAGCACTGTTGTTGACTCTTAATTGTTCATTTAATTAGGGGGGGGGGGGGGGGGGGGTCCCATAAAAAATCTAGTTTGGAACTAGTACGTGGATCCTAAAAACCAAGCTGTTGAAATTAAGACAGTTATCGTTATCGTAACATCTGCAATTGCTAACTTAATATTTATTTAATTTAGAGGACTGAGTACAACATAAGGATTGCCATATTTTACTGTCATATATGCAATTCATAGGCACTACCACATGTATGTGTTCACCTGACGTCCAAGACTGCACGTGCACAAATGCATTGGGTGTACATATATGTTTCACGAGGGCTAAATTAAGCCCTCGATCAACAGAATTATAAATATTCTGTTGGTTACCTGACACACAAATTATATTAATTTTCGTCATACACATTTTGTTGATCACATGTCTTACCAATTTAGTGTCACGGTTTACATTAAAATCAAGACACAAGTGATTATAACACTCACGTGAACCGTCGGTCCTGATCTGCACTCGATGTGGGTAAAAGTAGGCAAACTCATTAAGCATATTGGTATCCATCTTGTCAATATTGTCCACTCTGTTAAATAGTATATAAGGCAATATCCACTACATATGACATAGGCATTTCCCCTCTGTCATATGTATGACACTTAAAGTTCATACATATAATTTGCCCCAGATGTGCTGCATGTTGTTCACTAAATTTCTTACAAATAAAACATCCAATATTGTTCTTACGCTGATACCATCTTAACTGATAAAATAATACCACACACGAGGGATTTACTAAACTTAAGGGATAATGGCATCGGAAGGAATCCCGTCGTGGATATGGCGTACGTTATGATTGGTAAGAATTGTGTACACAGAAAGACGTACATGTACAACAGCAGTCCTCCAAACACAACAAAATACTGGAAATGTCACATAGTAGATTTTTATTCTTCAAACCAAGGCCTCCCGTACCGGATGTAACGGCTGCGTTGATATGACAGCACACAGCTGTGACTCTGACGTTAACAGCAAGATCTGGGATCAATATCGGATACTTTAGAAAACATTTACACATTTATATGTCGTGATGGTAAATGTGTACGTAAAAATAGTCTAATATGTATACCTCAATTATGTCAGTATGGATTAAGTATAGAATAAACCTAGATATACAATAAAATGGGAGTGTTCTTCGTCTTTCATTTTGTCGCCCAAACGGCGGTAATTGTGATGAAGTCTATTTGGTCGGCGTTATGTCTTTACTTACGCTGACCTTACCTCACATTATCGTGATCAAACTATGATTAATTTACACTGGGCTTCAGACGTGTTTCACCAACTACTGTACCATTGGGTGTATTCTGTATAAAATACCATAAATTGAATTTTTATAGAAGCAGAGGCGCTTACTACCACAGGAGAGGGTGCTATTGAACTGTTAATTGATAAGTTACATTACCTTTAATTGATTTTACTCCATGTTATGCAGTACATTTCTTAAAGAAGAAAAACCGAATAAAAAAACAGGGACTAAATAGAATACTTGTAACGAAACGAAATGACAAAGTAGGAGTCTGACAATTTCGGATCACATAACAAAACATATAAAATGCGAAAGAAAACCAAGAAAACAGACGAAATAGCGATAATTATCGTCGTAATTATCGATATTTCGGGGCAAAATATAATAAAATAAATGATTAATAGCTTAAATGAAACAAGCAAGGAATGAAATGGCAGAAATCTGTGCTATAATTCTGTATAACAACTGTTATCTATGAATAGATTGTATAATGTTACATGTAAAATTATGATAAGTTAACTGTAAACAAATGCTAGTAAAACAATGTTGTACGTGTATATAAAAACAATTAAGATAATTTACCCTTGAATAGATCATATCACATCAACCTGTTCCGTTAACAGTATTGTACACATTTAACTGCACAGGTGGATACAGCACGTGTTTCACAAGGTTCCTTTACATACATGTACTTTAGGATACCTTAAGCCAACGACAGTCTACAACATATATACACAATTGCATGGTTTTTGTATAGACACTATACATATTTTCAACATTTCTTATTTAAATTGGCATCACAACATTGTAAACTTTGAGTTGTGGATCTTGTTTCCAGCACTACTATATATTTAACAGTACTAATATTATACGGTTTACAGTACTAGTATCATATGTTCTATAAACCATATAACGTCTAGCAGAGGATACCATGTAACACTAGTGCTATAAATCATGTAATACTAGCATAAACCATATAACGTAGCAGTGGACACCATATAGATACTAGTACTGTAGACCATATAACGTAGCAGTGGACAACATATAGATACTAGTACTGTAGACCATATAACGTAGCAGTGGACACCATATACATACTAGTACTGTAGACCATATAAAGTAGCAGTGGACAACATATAGATACTAGTACTGTAAACCATATAATGTAGTAGTGGACACCATATAGATACTAGTACTGTAGACCATATAACATAGCAGTGGACACCATATAGATACTAGTACTGTAGACCATATAAAGTAGCAGTGGACAACAGATAGATACTAGTACTGTAAACCAGATAACATAGCAGTGGACACCATATAGATACTAGTACTGAAGACCATATAACGTAGCAGTGGACACCATATACATACTAGTACTGTAAACCATATAACGTAGTAGTGGACACCATATAGATACTAGTACTGTAAGCCATATAACGTAGCAGTGGACACCATATAGATACTAGTATTGTAAACCATATAACTTAGCAGTGGACACCATATAGATACTAGTATTGTAAACCATATAACTTAGCAGTGGACACCATATAGATACTAGTACTGTAAGCCATATAACGTAGCAGTGGACACCATATAGATATTAGTATTGTAGACCAGATAACGTAGCAGTGGACACCATATAGATACTAGTACTGAAGACCATATAACGTAGCAGTGGACACCATATAGATACTAGTACTGAAAACCATATAACGTAGCAGTGGACACCATATAAATACTAGTACTGTAGACCATATAAAGTAGCAGTGGACACCGTATAGATACTAGTACTGTAGACCATATAACGTAGCAGTGGACACCATATAGATACTAGTACTGTAAACTATATAATGTAGCAGTGGACACCATATAGATACTAGTACTGTAAACCATATAACGTAGCAGTGGACACCATATAGATACTAGTACTGTAAACCATATTACGTAGCAGTGGAAACCATATAAATACTAGTACTATAGACCATATAAAGTAGCAGAGGACACCATATAGATACTAGTACTATAGACCATATAATGTAGCAGAGGACACCATATAAATACTAGTATTACATGGTTTCCATTGCTACGTATATGGCTTGCAGTGCTATAGTATCGTTTTCTAGTACGAAGTATATGCTATGTACACAAAATTTGGATCAGATGAATCCAAGAGAATTCAACAGTTCGAATGTTTTCCCAGCTTTGACTAAACAGTCTATCAATTATGACAAAAACGTCTAACAGACTGTTTTTTGGTAGTTTATCTTTTCATTGCGTGCAATGACAGCTTGTTGTAGTGGCGTCCACCGGATATAGCGACAATCCCCGAGCTCCAACATCAACGTTGACACTCGCTCCATCTCTTTTGCAATATCCTCGTCACTGTATCGGGGGCGTGCTGGCGTCGTCACGGGATCCCAGGATAGCCCGCCGTATGACATGATTGTCTTTGCTTGAGAATAGTAGCCGTATCTGGTATTGACATCATGTGCGCCGTACGATGTGATTGTATGTGCTGGTGCGCCGTGCGCTGTGATTGTGTGTGCTGGTGCGCCGTACGCTGTGATTGGCTGTGCTGGTGCGCCATACAATGTGATTGGCTGTGCTGGAACATTGTAGTCATGTCTATTGCTGCCGTCATTTGAATAAGAATATGAAAGCTGTCTTATTTCCTCTTGATGAGGCTTCTCCTGTTTTCTTTTGATGTTCGGCGGAACTATGACCTCAGCAAAATCAAATCGAGGTCTTTGAGTCATTGCTGTTTTGATAATGGTATCTGGGCGCGTTGTTTGCCGAATCTTTCTCCGTCGCATCTTCCTTAATGCTATCTGTATCTTTATCTCCTTAGCTGGGATATCGACCCCGGCCAGCAGATCGTGTAACTCTATGGGCTGACCGGATTCAATTTCCTCCATGTCCAGGCTAGGCCGACGTTTTCTCAGGACCTCCTGTCGGTCAAACAATATGGTATTCTCCTTGACGCCAGATCCCATATTTACACCGTGAACGGCACATTTGGATGTCTTTTTACGACTCTTCGCCTTTAATCGACCGCAGGGACATATACTTTTCCGGTTCTGGTCAAATAACGCGGATCTATTCTGTGACGATTTTGACATTGAGGTAGATTTACTCATATCTCTCCGGCGTACTTTTGACGTTTGAAATACTTCTATGGCGAATAACTTTGGGCGCGCTAAACCAGGGTCACTTCCACGCCTGTGAGCTAAGCGATGTAGCTGTACACCTTCTGACACCTTCGCCAACAACTGATCCAGTGGAGTATCTGGACGAAGCGGGGCCGTGTTCGACTCCATCATTTCACCCCTTGTCTCATTATCTTTGATATCCAGTTTCATCACATCCCGTATAAGACTATCTCCTACGGTTTTCAAAAATTCGTTTTTCAGAGAAATTTGCGTAGGTTTTCTCTCAAATTCATCATACATGTCGTCTGATCCCGGTTTCAATGTTAGCTTCCTAGATTTTTTAAATGTTATTCTTTTCTTTCTTCTCGCTTTCCGCACTTTTTGTAATAGCTTGGTGAATTGTACCACTACAAATACGGCGTTAGCTATCTGAAGAAACTTTCTTTTTCCTTTCAAGCGAGGTGTCGTGTTTTTCTTTGCTATCTTCAGACGTATGGCTCTTAGTTGCGTGTCCGTCAGACATGATATATCGGGGTTTGTTGACTTGTGATTCTGTTCGAATTTGAGATATTTGTCCCTCTTCCTTTGTCTTTTCTTCCTCATTTTGTGTTTGGTTTTCTTTTCCATAAGGACGTTATCTTTGATGATAATTTCGTATTCTGAGGCCGTAGTATCTTCGAGTTCTCCCTCCTCTCCCATTAGTACGTCTGTTGAAGAGAACAGATCCCTATTGGCCGCCATAGGATGTAGTTTCCTGTCCGCACACAGGCCATCTTCCACGTTCTCTACGTCACTTCCCCCTTCCGATTCCGTGATACCCGGACTGTAGAACATATCAGAACTCACATCTAACGAAACAGAAATATTTTTCTTCTGCATTTGTTCGGTAAACCAATTTCTTTCCAGATTTCTGCCGTACATTTTTCTTTTCTCGTATGTACTATGCTGTTTTTGTCCTACCTTTATCGATAGGTCACCAGACTTCACCACGAGGCCAAGCTCATCTGTTATACAATCCTCATTCGACATCTTCAAAATTGTTTCATTTGAATATGAATTATTTGTCTGGCCTGTTTGGGTTCTGGAACATTGTGAAAGGTCCGCTAAGTTACACTGGGGTTGTTCTTCCGTATTACAAACGTTAAACTCACCGACCTCTGGAATTCGAACGTCATTCTCCATCATTTCACTGTCCTCCGGGTCCCTAGGCTGTTTCCGATACCCCAAGGAGAAATGCACTCGTTCTCCGGAGTTTAAAGCCCTCTTGTCATCTCTAGAGTTATTGGTGTGACGGATTGGTGGTAAACTATGCCCGCCTTTTCCCGCCGTCCCTGTTGCCGTTCTCTGCTTTTGTTTGAACTGTTTCATAAGATGGTAAAGAGATGGTCTATTATACTCGTTGATGACGCTACTATTCTTCATATTGTCATCTACGAAGTATGCTGTCTGCTGTCCTGCATAAAATCCATCCGTGTTACCTTTATTTCCTGTTAATATTTGACCACTGGAGCTCATTGAAATGTTGGAGTAGTCCGCAAATCGTTTCTTAAACGGCGCTTCACTAATTTTGTGGTAGTATTCGTTCACCTTGTGTGGGTTGTCCAGTCTGCCTAGATGTATGCTTTCTAACGCTACCCAGGGCCGACTGGCCGTTGTTAGTATGCCGTCCTCTGCCCCCTTCCGCCGTGGACGGTAACCTGAAGGTAGCTGGACACATGTAATCGGTATATCGCCTTCTTTGTCTATTTGTTCCATTTCAAACTCAACTAAAATTACTTTACTGGAAAGAAAAGCAGTCGGGACTAGCTATAGTCCTGTGAACTGTTCATAGAACATTTTGTAATGAAACGTATTTTATTGGTATCCACATATAGGGAACAATTTGTCACACCTGCCTCCTTAGTGACCATGGTCACTTGGACGTATAATGAGTTCCTGTGGTAGTGACGAGAAGGTGTATAACACATCTCGGCACAATACGCCAAATAAAGTCATCAAAATTTTGTCAAAACAAATTAAGCGATGGGCCTGTTTTTTCATTATAGAAACAAGTATACAGAAGAAAAAAATGTTCCCAGCTCCCCTTGTCATTATCGATCCCTAATAGAACATCATAACTTCAGCTATATAACCAGAGTACATAATCCCAACTCAAGTTACAAGTTATATCTTGTACTGAACAACATCCTAACCAAAGCTATAGATTAACCTTAGTACAACATCCTAACCAAAGCTATAGATTAACCTTAGTACAACAACCTAACCAAAACTATAGATTAACCTTAGAACAACAACCTAACCAAAGCTATAGATTAACCTTAGAACAACACCCCAAACAAAGCTATAGATTAACCTTAGTACAACAACCTAACCAAAACTATAGATTAACCTTAGTACAACAACCTAACCAAAACTATAGATTAACCTTAGTACAACAACCTAACCAAAACTATAGATTAACCTTAGTACAACAACCTAACCAAAACTATAGATTAACCTTAGTACAACAACCTAACCAAAACTATAGATTAACCTTAGTACAACAACCTAACCAAAGCTATAGATTAACCTTAGAACAACACCCCAAACAAAGCTATAGATTAACCTTAGTACAACAACCTAACCAAAACTATAGATTAACCTTAGAACAACAACCTAACCAAAGCTATAGATTAACCTTAGAACAACACCCCAAACAAAGCTATAGATTAACCTTAGTACAACAACCTAACCAAAACTATAGATTAACCTTAGTACAACAACCTAACCAAAACTATAGATTAACCTTAGTACAACAACCTAACCAAAACTATAGATTAACCTTAGTACAACAACCTAACCAAAGCTATAGATTAACCTTAGAACAACACCCCAAACAAAGCTATAGATTAACCTTAGTACAACAACCTAATCAAAGCTATAGATTAACCTTAGTACAACAACCTAACCAAAACTATAGATTAACCTTAGAACAACAACCTAACCAAAGCTATAGATTAACCTTAGAACAACACCCCAAACAAAGCTATAGATTAACCTTAGTACAACAACCTAACCAAAACTATAGATTAACCTTAGTACAACAACCTAACCAAAACTATAGATTAACCTTAGTACAACAACCTAACCAAAACTATAGATTAACCTTAGTACAACAACCTAACCAAAACTATAGATTAACCTTAGTACAGCAACCTAACCAAAGCTATAGATTAACCTTAGTACAACATCCTAGTTGTTTTCCTGTGTGTTGTTCATATGAAATTGCACTACAGATTGTAACTAAAACTGCCCACCACTCCCCGCCATATCAGAACACCTGCTATTGATGACAGAGTTCGGTATAGTAAGGTGTTAGTACAGTAATGACTGATCGATACTATAGTATACCACTGTCAGACCCTAGTGTTAATAACAGTCCTAGACAACCCCCTCCTGTGTGTCACACATCGACATCCATGTACGATTCATACATGTTCATGTATTAAGCATATAATGAATATTATATATGGTCCGATTCATAATTAGGTGTAGAATTAACGAGATACAAAAACACAATTTGACCTCAGACAGGATTATCGCAAGTCAAATTTAACAGCTATATATACGTTGACTTATACTATCGTAAAATATGTTTGTTATTTATGGTTAAGTGATATATTGAAATAAAACATTGATTGTATATATGGGCTTATTATAGCTATAACACAGTTAGTCCGAAATATTCTGACGTTTTATCGACATTTTTTTTTTAAATCGGTCTGTCGTCGATTAACGACGTTAATCGACGACAGACGGATATAAAAAAAAGTCGATACAACGTCAGAATAATTCGGAATATAAAACAGTCGGACATTGTCCTTCAAAACAGACACAGACATAATTCCAAATAGATGGTTATGATATAATACATATATAGAAAGTCTCAATTAAGAGAAGCCGGATAATGAACGAGAATTAATCACAATACCGAATCGTGTAAATGACAATAAGCTTTGGAAAAAATGCCGTTCAATTATTGTATTAACATTTTAAATTTCGTTGCCATTATTGATCAAAATATATGTCTTGTCTGTATCGTCAGTGCATAACGGGATTTCTTGAACAGACTAAGGTCGCCAAAGTGTTTGCTTCTTACGATTGTCTCACGTTATTCGAGGCGGGAGGAGATCGAAACTTTAAAATGACGCTGATCCGATTGTGTTCATAGCCATATGAACGGAATTTCTTTTTTGGCATGGTATTTCAGTGAGATAGCAATATAAAATCGGCATCAGATCCGCGCTATCTGCCCTGTCTCCGACACACATACATGCATGCATATGCTTATACACAACACACATGGAGGCACGCCCTTAAATGACCTTATAATTAGCTGTTAATAAAACCAAAACCAAACCAAAGTAATGTTTATAGAGAAATTTACAATTGAAATGTGTATATCAAAGTCCCCTGCACACCTATTGTCATTTGATCATTGGTGTACATGAAAATGGGTTAGCCGCTTTGTGGTGGATGGTGATAACATATGCGACTCATTATACCAGAGACACATATAAGCCATATACGTCTCTGAGTATACATGTACGTACATGCACCTTTCTGTTGTGAGATGTGTGCAGTAGCGGAGGCTCTATTTAACAGGGGCCGGGGTGGGTTCAAACTTCAACTTAACTTAATAAGTACCCATACAAAAAATACATAAATTAAAAAAAAATACGTGTCTTGGCCTTGACAAACTTTTAGTTTATAATCATATTGTTGCTGCTCCAATCAAGATTTTCCTACAGGAGTTTCATTACCATATGGAGGCCTAGGAGTTTTGTTGAAAATACCACTGCGCAGCATCTCTGCGCACAACGTGTTGTCATATCATTCGCTTCCGCAACAAAGATCTGGTGGGTTACACCTACTTTCTGCTAACTTGTTGTCGTGTTGTACATACTAGTATCCAATAATGATATGTAATTTAGACTGATTCGGATAGTCAGGACATAGGGATGTTCCGTAGGCTGACCAAGACGAATCACTACCTCACTTTTGTGCTGGTAATTTGTTCGCTGGTAGTACACTTAGGTGAACCGAAACTAGCCGGTGTGGAGGAGAGCGAGGATAAGAAATCCGGGACACTGAGCTTTAAGACTCCCACCTTGGATGACGAGGATACTCACAGCCTACACATGCCACATGAGCTGAAATGTGACGGCTGTCGTGTGGTCGCCTATCAAGTAAGACTGGTTATTTGATCAGGTCCAGTACACTCTGCCGATTGAGCTATATAGCTATAAAGACCTATATAGCGGGTTATATACACCTATACATTATAGCTGTATTGAGCTATATTTTCTCAGATTTCAATTTTCATTAAATTAAAGCAAAGTCGCATACAACAATAAGGTTTATGGTAATGTTGACTACAAAAAGTATACAGTTAGATGTTTATTTTCATTTTTCATAAATGTAAAATTTCGGATTTTTTTACATCATTATTTTTTAAAAAGAATCGTTATGTTTAATGTCTTTTGTTATCAACCTAATGATACAATCTTCTTTTAAAAGCGACTTTGTTTAGTTTTCCTTAAAAACGAAAAATACTCAAAAAATAGCTCAAAAGACCTATTTCAGATAGGTCAATAGAGCTATTATAAGTCTTTACAGCTATATAGCTCAATCGGCAGAGTGTACTGGACCTGTTGATGTATACATTGAAAATAAAGGTTTATTGTAAAATTATGTCACATCATGTTACCATATACCAATAAGAAAAAGGTGGGAGGGGGTCCATAGGTTATTGTACTCTTTACTCTCTGCCAATCTTTGCATCACTTCGTCAGTGGCAATTTTACACTCCATATTTGGGTCTCTTACCAAATTATAGACAGATTTTCTAGACAATTATAAGCTACATGTACCTGGTCACTGACAAAAGATTCTGCCCTCCTTTTTAGTCTTTGCCCGAAGACAACACTATTTACAACCCAAGTTATTTCCGTTCCATTTTACCTATTTTAAATGACTGAATATTGCTTACTGATATTTAATCTCCTCCCCAAATATGTACAGATTTATGGCCTTTTTCATCCAAATTAAAAATATTGATAGAAACTGAGGAGGGAAGAATGATGACCACTTTTTCATTTTGCAGTAACAGTGGTTGTGGGCTTAAATACTGAAACGCAAAGTCAATTGTTTTTGTTCTGAATACTTGTTTAACTTTCATCAAAATCCGATTGAAAATGAGGAAGTTAAAGCAATAGACAATTTTCTCTGTATAGTAGCATGCAGTGGCTTCACTCTACATTCCTGAAACATGTAAACATCTGGGGTAAACTAGTTCAAAATAGTGAACATGCAATTGTATGAAGTTTAATTCAGTTCTGATCAGTTACAGTGATGACATCTGAATGTGTGATGTACAGATGACAGACTTGGGTAAAGCTATATTCCGACATTTTATGGAGAGTATATGAAGAAATATCCCATCACTCTATTTTACGTTGACAGCCTGTATCTTATATAGCCAGGTACATTGTTTTGTAAACTTATCCAGTGCTCTCTTTTGCCTATATTTCAGCTGCAAACCAAATTTTCTGAAGCTCACAAGAAGAGGCCTTCCTTAAAAGTTTTACCAGAGTCACAAATCTATGACATAACTGAGTCTATTTGTGAAAGCAAATTTGACAAGTAAGTATACATAGCACTTTCTGGAAATAAGATTGCTACATCAGTTTAAACCATAATTATACAACTGGATTCTTATTTGAGCAGAACACCTGTCGGACTGCTTTACTTATGATTATCTAGATCACCTTTGAATGGTATGTCCTCCTGTAATTTACATCACATTGGAGATAAGTGATTGTACTGTAATGGGTGCAATTAGGATTTTGTTTTTAAACAATTTGTTTTGTAGGTATGGGATTAAGGAAGTTGATGGACAGAAACGATTGTCAGGACCTGGATTGGAAACAGCTGACATTCCTGGGATTATGCAGGGTGGAGGGAGGTGGCCAAACAGGTGAATATTTAAAAAAATGTCCAGTGTTAGGACCACCAGCTGGTAAATAGCATATCAGTACACAGGGTCCTGTGTTAGGACCACCAGCTGGTAAATAGCAGATCAGTACACAGGGTCCAGTGTTTGGAAACCACCATCTGGTAAATAGCAGATCAGTACACAGGGTCCAGTGTTAGGAAACCACCATCTGGTAAATAGCAGATCAGTACACAGGGTCCTGTGTTAGGACCACCAGCTGGTAATAGCAGATCATTACACAGGGTCCAGTGTTAGGAAACCACAATCTGGTAAATAGCAGATCAGTACACAGGGTCCTGTGTTAGGAAACCACCAGCTGCAAAATAGCAGATCAGTACCCAGGGTCATGTGTTAGGGAAACCACCAGCTGGTAAATAGCAGATCAGTACACAGGATCCTGTGTAAGGAAACCACCAGCTGGTAAATAGCAGATCAGTACACAGGGTCCTGTGTTCGGAAACCACCAGCTGGTAAATAGCAGATTAGTACACAGGGTCCTGTGTTAGGAGACAAGGTACACAGAACTCTGTATTAAAAGACAATAACCTGTAAGTTTCTGTATTAAGAGACACCAGCTTGTAACTAGCAGACAAATACACAGGGCCCTGTGTTAGGAGATACCTGCATGTAAATAGCTGATAAATACACAGGGCTCTATGTTAGGAGATACTGGCATGTAACTAGCAGACAAATACACAGGGCCCTGTGTTAGGAGATACCTGCATGTAAATAGTTGATAAATACACCTGTGAAGGTGATGCACACACTGTAATATCACAAAACCTATTACGTTGTAGGCTGAGAGAGACATGTTCTATGTACATGGGTGAGATTGGAGAAGAAGAAGTCTATGAGGCGTACCTAAAGGAGAAGGACTTGGAAAAGTACCTCTGTAGGGGCCAAGGAATTCTGGGCGAGTGTTCAAAGAAAAGGAGCCGCAAAAATGATGAGCTGTAGGCATGGTAACATCTCTTGGGATACCAAGTTAAGAACAGAAGGCACAGCAAACTATAAACATTTAATTTCCGACACAACAAAGCGATCAAGTGTGTCTGACAACTGGTGCAAATCTTGCTGAATAAATGACCACATATACTTGTGGGCTGTATACTGGAGATCTTCAAGCTCTAAAACTATACACATACATTAAATGGATGGGAGATATCCTATATGTCAAGACAAATCTATCATCACCAGTAGTTTAGTACAAGCAGATGTTAAATTAACACAATACCATAACATCTTGGTATACTGAGTAAGACTGACTTTCTTTAATTTGGAGAGCTGTTGTCTACAGCTTCTAGACGTTGACGGATGTCATGTCAGTTGTATGAGTGCTGCTGTTTTCAGCTGGTAGACATTGACGGATGTCATGTCAGTTGTATGAGTGCTGTTGTTTTCAGCTGGTAGACATTGACGGATGTCATGTCAGTTGTATGAGTGCTGTTGTTTTCAGCTGGTAGACATTGACGGATGTCATGCTAGTTGTATGAGTGCTGTTGTTTTCAGCTGGTAGACATTGACGGATGTCATGCTAGTTATATGAGTGCTGTTGTCTACAGCTGGTAGACGTTGATGGATGTCATGCTAGTTGTATGAGTACTGTTGTCTACAGCTAGTAGACATTGACGGATGTCATGTCAGTTGTATGACTGCTGTTTTTTTCTGCTGGTAGACATTGACGGATGTCATGCTAGTTGTATGAGTGCTGTTGTCCTCAGCTGGTAGACGTTGACGGATGCCATGCTAGTTATATGGTTGCTGTTGTCGACAGCTGGTGGACATTGTCGGATGTCATGCCAGCTGTAGATTGATTTTGTCTACAGCTGGTAGACGTTGACAGATGTCATGCCAGTAATATGAGTGCTGTTGTCTACAGCTGGTAGACATTGACAAATGTCATGCCAGCGGTAGAGTGCTGTTGTCTTCAGCTGGTAGACATTGACAAATGTCATGCCAGCGGTAGAGTGCTGTTGTCTTCAGCTGGTAGACAATGACGAATGTCATGCCATTCGTAGAGTGCTGTTGTTTTCAGCTGGTAGACATTGACGGATGTCATGCTAGTTGTAAGAGTGCTGTTGTCTTCAGCTGGTAGACGTTGATGGATGTCATGTCAGTTGTATGAGTGCTGTTGTCTACAGCTGGTAGACATTGACGGATGTCATGTCAGTTGTATGAGTACTGTTGTCTACAGCTGGTAGACATTGAGGGATGTCATGCCAGTTATATGAGTGCTGTTGTCTACAGCTGGTAGACATTGACGGATGTCTTGTCAGTTGTATGAGTACTGTTGTCTACAGCTGGGAGACATTGACAGATGTCATGTCAGTTGTATGAATACTGTTGTCTACAGCTGGTAGACATTGATGGATGTCATGTCAGTTGTTTGAGTACTGTTGTCTACAGCGCGTAGACATTGACAGATGTCATGTCAGTTGTATGGGTACTGTTGTCTACAGCTGGTAGACATTGACGGATGTCATGTCAGTTGTATGAGTACTGTTGTCTACAGCTGGTAGAAATTGACAGATGTCATGTCAGTCGTATGAGTACTGTTGTCGACAGCTGGTAGACATTGATGGATGTCATGTCAGTTGTTTGAGTACTGTTGTCTACAGCGCGTAGACATTGATAGATGTCATGTCAGTTGTATGGGTACTGTTGTCTACACCTGGTAGACATTGACGGATGTCATGCTAGTTATATGAGTGCAGTTGTCTACAGCTGGTAGACATTGACAGATGTAATGTCAGTTGTATGGGTACTGTTGTCTACAGCTGGTAGACATTGACAGATGTCATGTCAGTCGTATGAGTACTGTTGTCTACAGCTGGTAGACATTGATGGATGTCATGTCAGTTGTACGAGTGCTGTTGTTTTCAGCTGGTAGACATTCACGGGCATAATCAAATAGCTTAGCAGGAGTTGGATCCTTTCATCTAAATTATACTCTCAATAACACTGCCAACTCTGTGATTTGTGCATGGTCATGTAAAATACTCATTTTTGATAATTAATTCATGAATTTATTTGTGAAAGCTTTAAAGAAGGGTGGGGAAGTTGTATATTCTCCCTGTTATGAAATAACCTGACATTACAAATTCCATCATAATGTATTGTCCAGTTACTCTTCAGACATTTTATACAGAGTTCAGAGATAGAGGATATTTTACAACTTGATGCTTGATTTTCCACCCTTTAGTGAATGTATAAATATTTGCAAGCTTATTCAATAAAATATAGTTTGAACAAATGTTAAAGATTAGAGTCCTGTGACAATGAGCAATCATTGCATATTTTCAATATCATAGATCAAATTCATGAATGAAGTCAGAAGTTATTTTATTGTCTCCAAGTTATTTTATTGTCTCCATATCAACCAGTTCCGTTGATCTTGTCACCAATAAATAATTGAAAGTTTGCAAGATTGTTTCAAGTGACATGATAATATATTTTTTCTATTCAAACAAACATTAGATCTCTATGTAGATTTGTAACCATGTTTGTCAGTGAAAATAACTCTGTAGCTTAACTGGTGTTTATTCCTGTATCAGATGCTATATGGCTTAAATAATATGTGAAAGTTTTACAACCAATTTTTATGTGGTTTTTTTTTCATGTATAAGAGTGGTTATGAACAGCCTACTTCATTGTGTAGTGCGTGCTTTCAGTGGTGAATATGTGCAGTGCTGTATGTAGCAGTTAAGTTGTGCAGTACTGTATGCAACAGTTCAGTTGTGCAGTACTGTATGTAACAGTTCAGTTGTGCAGTACTATAGGTAGCAGTTAAGTTGTGCAGTACTGTATGTAGCAGTTAAGTTGTGCAGTACTGTATGTAACAGTTCAGTTGTGCAGTACTGTATGTAACAGTTCAGTTGTGCAGTATTGTATGTAACAGTTCTGTTGTACAGTACTGTATGTAACAGTTCTGTTGTGCAGTACTGTATGTA